CAACTAGCACTTAAACTTTTTTCCGTCACACCTCATGCAGCTGGATGTGAGCGAGTATGGTCAAGTCTTGGTTGGATATATGGCAAAAGAAGGACCCGTTTAGGCTTAAATAAAGTTGAAAATATGTATAAACTTTCAGCCTATTATCATGCAAATGTGAAAAAAGAATTGCCTTATTATGGTATAGAAAAATCCACTGAAGAAATTCATCAAATATTAATTGATGCACATTTGAATCCCGACCAAGACCTTCTTGAATTGGAAGATGAATTACTTGATTATTACAATAATGAGGAGGAAATAGTAATTGGTGAGGAGGAAGAATTAAATATTGATAATATTTTGGACTTAGATGCATTTGTTGATACTTTGGGTGATATAATTGAAGATAGTATAGATAGTGTAGAAGATGAGATTCAAGATAATAGAGTAGACGTTCCTATGAATGAAAATGATGATATTGAATGGGATCCAGCTGCCGAAGCTGATGAAATAATTAATACTATGTAATATTGTAATATTCTAAATTGTAAAGTTGCAATTTATAAATAAATTTTGTTATTTTTTTTGTTAAACCAGTCATGTATTACAAAAAAATAAATAAAACATGTTTTGCCAAGTTACGGAAGTTACGGAAGTTTGGGCAAGTTTCGCTAGGTTTCGGAAATTCCGCCAGTTTCGGAATTTTGCACTGGTGGCGAAACTAGTTTCGCCAAGTTTCGGAAGTTTCGCCAAAAATTTAGTTTCGGTTTCGCCCGAAACACTATTCGGAGGTATTTAATTTTTATCTATATGAAATATATTTAAAACGCGATATTATTATCTAATATTAAAATTAAATTAAAATTAAGTAATTAAATGGTAAAAGAAAATGTAATGAGAATTATAAAAATGATATTATTATGATTTTAATTAAGAGCCAATTTTAGATATCATTTAGCTTTATGCAAGATAGTGCCCATTTGCCCGTCATTTTTTTGTTTACTTTCTAATGGAAGCTTTGACAACAATATACCCTAACAATATATGATATTTGCTATTAATGTTATCAATATAATGTATGTACTTTTTTCTAAAAAATTGTATTTTTCTTTGCTGAGCAAAAAATGTATATATTATTTACTTAGCACCATGTCAAGTACTAGTGCAGTGCAATCCCAATTACAGTGTTCAAGCCTTTTTATTTGCCAGGCATTGATGCCTATAGCAATACCTACTCCCGTGCCCCAAATTTTTTTTTAGGCATGGGCATGTGCCGGGTTGCAGAATCCTAAATTATGCTTCGTGAATACATAATTATTTATCATTGACATTGATGTTATTCAACATTATTTAGATCAGAATGTTATTTATATTGGTCAAATTTTGACTTATCGATCATTCAGTTATTATTTTGTTACAGAAAGAAATATTTTCCCTTTTGAAATTCATTTATGTAATTACTGACTTCCCAATAAATCTTGCCACTTTTATGTCACAGTCTGACATTATTTTTAAAAAAGGTTAAATGCTAGATAATTAATACATGCTTGTACCCATATTTTTTGCATATAAGTAGACGCCTAATCATGACATAATATATCTTCAAATAGAAGATCGGTAACAGAAGGTAATATTTCGTTATAAACTCAAAAAACTATGCACTATGCATAATTTCAGTCTAAAATATCATTTTTGATTTTTACGTTAGGACATGAACTGTGCCTTCGTATAAATTATAACCAAGATTGTTATTTTTACGATAAAAACATATGACATGATATAAAAAAAATTCACTAAAAATTATTGTTATGTGGTAGTTTAAATTCAAAATTTTATTTATCTGAGAAACTTACAAGAAAAATTAGCTCACCAAAAATTTAAAAAACTATAAGAATTTGTCATTATCGAAAAGTGAGTGCCTACACGACTTTAAATACTTCAAATTCTTCTATAGAAAATCTTCTCTCTTTTCTAATCGGTTTTTCATAGTCAGATTTAAAACAACGACATTCACCTCTGGATCCCCATATAATAAGATCATTAGAACCAAATAATGGACCATAACAAAAACAATTCCATGTAGCTCCATTATTAGCCATTACGCGACTTATAATACAATCTTTAATTATATTATTATTAAAAGAGAATATAAAACAATCCTCATTATAATTCCGACTATAATCAGACATCCATTCAGTCGGGTTATATCCTCCAAGGATCTCGTTGTTGCCCTTTACTTTAACCAGCGTAACAGTGCGAGATTGATTATCACAAATTTCGTGGAATTTTTTAGGACAAAATCCATCACGAGATCCACGAAATAACAATTTGAATTCATAAGATGAAGTTAACTCATCAGTAATTTCTAATCTGTCGATCCATTTTGAGATTGTTTCAACATGTTGATGTGTAACAATTTTTGAATCAATAGTTTCAGTATTAATAATTTCTTTAGTTACGTTGGGTTTTGGGATTGCTTCAACATGTTGATGTGTAATAATTTTTGAATCAATAGATTCAGTATTAATAATTTCTTTAGTTACGTTGGGTTTTGTTCTATCATTTAGTTTGATATTAGGATCTAAATAATTTAAAAGGACTTTTAATAAATCTTTATATAAATCCTTTGGTAAAATTTTTTTATAAGGTAATACTTTATCCACAAATTCTTTAGTAGTTAAATTGTAAAATTTAATAAATGGAATACATTGTTGCAAGGTATTCCTTAAAACATTAAAATCATCTTTTGAATAGTTTGTGATATCAGATGGAAGTTCTGGATTTTGAGCACGTCCCCATATAAGAACATTTTCCCAAACTTGAATTTCGTTCATTTGAAGATTATCATTTTGAATAATTGAAATTAAAAGTTTTTCTGAAATTGAAGTGAAATTTGTTGAATTAAATATTTTTTCTGGTTGTTTAGAAATTAATTCAGTGCAATATTTTTGAAGATCCAAGAAAGAATCATTTTCAAAGCTTGTTCGATAGATTAAATCGAAATTTTGTTCCATCCAGTTTGATTTATTTTCAATCAAAAAAGATTGTATGTAAAGGATTAATTCCTGAATACCAAGTTCACTAGCAGAAACTAGTAAATTAATTATATCTAAAATATTATTTTCTTTCAAAGAAATTCTTCCACTATAAATATACCTAAAAATAATAATAAAAAAAAAATTATAAAATTAGGATTAGGAATATTAAATTATATTAAATTATATTAAATTTTTTGTTTAAAGTCCTGTTAAATTTAGAATTTTATTACCTTAAAATTATTTGAAAAACTTTAGGTGAAATATTTGGTAATTTAATATGTGTCAAAGTTTCATCATTTTTTCTTTTATTAGTCGATAAAATTCTTTGTAAATATGAAGAACGATAATATAAAATAATCATATGCGCACGAAATATTTTTACTTGAGGGTCATTACCAACTTCAATAGTTATATCATAATATTCTTCATCATTTAAAATTTCAAGTAAATTTTGGGATAATTTAGATAAAAAAAGTTTATCATCATCCATTATATAAATTAATTCGATAAAGAAGAAATGAGAAAGAATTCCCCAATGATTTGCATAATTTGTGAAACGGGTTTTTAATAAAATAATGTCTGTGCAACGTTAAATTTTAGTGCGTGAGACAACATTTGATTTGATATCAATCATGTGAAATGTTCATGTGATAAGTAAATAAGCTAAGCATTTTAAGCATTTGTAAATAATTTATTTTTGTTATTATTTTTTTATTTGTTTTTTTTTATAAAGAAAAAAATTCATGAGTAAATTTTCATCAATCGAAATACTTCATATTCTTCAACATAAAATCTCTCTTCAGTTTCCCTAATCGAACTTTCATAAGAATTTTTACAAACATTACAATAATTACCAAATGCTTTAATATCTAATCCCCATATAATAAGATCTCCGTTACCAAATGATGGACCATAATAAGATTTATTATCTATAGCATATTGATTATCTTTTACACGACTTAAAATATAATTCTCGTTTCTATTTTTATTATTAAAAGAAAATATAAAACTATCATAAGTATTACTATATCTATCAACAGATTTCCATTCAAGAGGATTATATCCTCCAAGAATTTCGTTACTGTCTTTCACTTTAGCAATTGTCACAGTGTGAGATTGTAGATCACAAATTTCATGAAACTTATTAGGATAGAATCCATCACGAGATCCACGAAATAATAATTTGAATTCGTATGGAGAATCTTGCTCATCATTAACATCTAATCTATCGACCCATTTTGAGATTTTTTCAGCATGTTGAGATGTAATAATATTAGAATCAATATCTTTTATATCAATGTTTCTAGGTATACGAGGTTTTGAATCACCTTTCTTGTTATTAGGATTCAAAAGACTTAATAATAAATCTTTACATAATTCTTTCGGTAAAATTTTTTTGTAAGGAAATACCTTTTCCGCAAATTCTACAGATGATAAATTGTAAAATCTAATAAACTGGATGCATTGTTGTAAAGTACTCTTCAAAGTGTTGAAATCATCTTTTGAATAGTTTGCGACATCAGATGGCAATTCTCGATTTTGAGCGACTCCCCATTTAAGTACATGCTCCCAAACTTGAATTTCACTCATTTGAAGATTATCATCTTGAATAACTGAAATCAAAAGCTTTTCCGGAATTGAAGTGAAATTTGGTGACCTGAATATCTTATCCGGTTCATTAGATATTAAATTATTACAATATTTTTGAAGGTCCAAGAAAGAATTATTTTCAAAGCTCGTTCGATAGATTAATTCAAAATTTTGTTCCATCCAGTTTGCTTTATATTCAATCAAAAAAGATTGTATATAGATAATTAATTCCTGAAGATCTAGTTCTTTAGCGGCAACTAATAACTTAATTACATCCGTAGAATCACATTCTTTCAGAGAAAGTTTTCCACCATAAATGTATCTAAGATAACGATTGAAATTAAAATATATTGATAAATAAAAAAAAAAATAATACATAGTAATTAATACTTACCTTAAAATCACTTCAAAAATTTCGGGTAAAATATTAGGTAGTTCAATATGCGCCAAAGTTCCATCATTATTCTTTTTATTAGTTGACAACTTACTTCGTAGATAAGGAGAACGGTAATTTAAAATAATCATATGAGCATGAAATGTTTTTACATGTGGGTCGTTACCAACTTCAATATTAATATCATAATATTCGTCATCATTCAAAATTTCAAGGAAATTTTGTGATAATTTAGGCAAAAATCTATAATTGTCAATAATTTTCGGTACTGCATTTTCGATAACTGAACAATCATTCCATTTTTGCAAAATGAATTGTTGATTCTCTCCACCATGCTTTTCATATAGGATGATGAAGGCATGATTATCTGTTTTTGATTCCTGTAACAAAAACAAGAAAAGGGATTAAATATTGAATTCTTAATTATTTATTTCTAGTAATGTATTTCAATAACATTTTTACCTCAACATCAAGGACAAAATTTCGATTAGATTTCAAACCGATAGTGTTGTCCTCATGGTTGTATTCCCATTCTTGATTTTGAGATGGTTCAGGTTTCCTTGGATATTGAATAATTTTCGTACCTTAATTATTATTGAAATACGTTAATTATGGAATTAAAGAAAAAAAACACACAATAATATTTTAAAACATAATTACTTACAATTTTCGATTATCTCTTGATTAGTAAAGAAAAAAAGTTTTTGAGTTAGAAATTAGAAGATTTCGGTTTATAATAATGAATCATACATAGTGTTACATACCTTCAGCGACATCAATCACGAAGCCAGATCTTTTGTTTACAATAAATCCACCATCAAAATACCAGAGTTGCATATCAACCTAAATATAGATAAAAAAAAAATGATTAATTAAATAATAATCAAATTATTATTAATAATAACAAACTATTTTTATTAAAAGAATATGCAACACTTTACGAAGGGGTCAAGCTCAGATTTCTTAGTATGTTGTATAATGTTAGCACAACTACAAAAAGAACCATTTTCAACTTCAAGAACTTTTCCAGAATGTTGAGCTATAATCCAATAATAATTTGTCATTTTTGAGAATAATTCAATAGAGGTTGAAGTTTATGGTGCGAAAATTGTAAAATTTGGATATTTGTATTTATTTTTGTTCGGCAAACGGAAAATCATTTAACCGGATTACACAATGATCATGTGCTATTAGCTATATCATACATACTGTAAACTAAGAATTTGGCAACGTTCGCGCCTGAAAAGCGAGTATATATAATATTAGTATAGTATGATTTTGTTAGTATGTTTGATGGAATTTTTACTTTGTATGTATGATTTTTTATGGTACATATATACTTATGTATGTATTTAAATTTTTTTATTACACACAAATAACGAATTTATGAGTTTGATCAACGGTTACACAGTAGACAATTATAAAATACGAAAAATATGTAATTATTCTTTCCCTAATTTTTTAGATTTATTTTTTTTAAAAAAAAAAAAAATTTCAAATATTAAATAATTAATAAAATGGAAATAGTTCTCTCAGATGTAAAAGAAATTATCGAAGCTTTAGAATTGGCTAATTTAGTAAAGAAAAAGGATTAGGATTATAATCCTACTATAGAATTTTTTTATAGGTAATTTAGTATTTTGCAGCTTCAATTTTTTTCACTTAAGTTCTGCGAGAAAATTTAAAATTTAAAATTTAATAAAGAACATGAAAAAGCTTAAATATGATTGTGTTTATAATTTATTCATTTAAAGATGAATACACATAAATAATGACATGCTAGGACTTCAAGGGATTGAAAAAGTGTATGACGAGGCTGGTAAAAAAGTATGTATATACGTACAATTTTTCTATATTTAGCAATCAAAGTAGTACGTACGATTTAAAATCATACGTATGATACTAAACTACATACTATTTTACAAAATCATACTAACTAAATTATTAATTCTTGATATTTTTCTTTAAGATGGATTGATGAAATTTTTGTCTAAAAAAAAAAAATATTTTTTATACTTTATATACAGTATATTAATGAACAAGTATAAGATTTTATGGGTTAATAAATTTTTGTTTCAAGTTATAAATCCTCTCAAGTCTTTTTACTCGAGCAAAACTGATGCATTTTAAATTGGTGAAATACAATTTTTTATTTTATTTTATTTTATTTTTTTCTCCAAATTTTTTCCATCAAAAATTAGAAGATCATATTATTGAAAAGGCGAACATGACTACCTAATTAAGCATTTAATGAATTGCAGAAGTTTACGAATCAGCTATACATAATATCCTATAGTAACTGGTGATTAGTTTGGCTAGTCTCTGTCGCAAAAAGTGCTTATTTGTCGAGGTATTATTGTTTAGCTAAGAATGAACAATAATTGTTATATCCACTGAGTTATAATCATTATTTAGATTTTTTAATAGTGGAACTATTAATAGTTTTTAATAAACATCGAGCAAAAGAGTTTATATTTAATGTTTTTGAGAATATAAAAACAAGAATATAGATGTGATCAAAATAAGCGAGCTTGAGAAACAAAAGGTATTATAGAAGAGATGATGGATCGAAAGATAATAAAAAATTGGAAAAAAGAAAGAGATTATAAAATGGGAAATAATTATATCGTAGGATATCGCATGTATTTAATTTAGGTATGAATGTAAGAAATACTTGAGTTGAAAACATAATAAAAATAATTACGGCGCTGGTAAAAATAATGGCGAATATAATTGATAAAATTTATAAATAGTAAATATTAACTTGTATATATATGATCTTACTACAAACTACTTTTAATGTTACCAACTTCAAACGTGTTGTTATTGAATTTTCTTTGTCATTGTATGTTGGACGGAGATCAGATTATTGCTTGAGTATAATTATTTTTGGTGATAGTGAAACAACTTCATCAGCAAAAAAGTTAAAAACTTATTTTACGTACTATTAATTTTACTATTTATTATATTAAACTATAATAAACTATTAAGACACTACATTTTACTTATTTTAACTATTGTGATTATTAACTTGATTTTCTCTATTCTCATGCATTACAAATGGTATGGTTTGGTGCGTTTGGCTGGGACAATGTTGTCCGCGCTTTAATCGTTTCAAGTCATAATAATCATGCGTCTAGTAAATATTAGAAATGATTTAATTCTGAGGAATAGGGCAATATAATATTTATTAAATTCATCTTATTAATCTTTCTAATAAAAAAATTGGTTTATCGTCTTGTACGGCGAAAATCAAATATATGTCCTAGTAATCGGCTGTGACTGTATTTCCATTAAAAATGATCTGTCCCAGCGTCCTGTTCCCTGTTCCCATCCCCTCTACATTACAAGTTACACCTCTATAATTTCGTACTTACTGAATTTCCTTCTTACTATGAATCGAAATAATAAACGATGAAAACTTTTCTTATTATAAAATGACCCGATGACACGATCATCATAATCTAGGATAATTTTCCAGGTATTTTTTTTCGTGATTAAATCGATTCCATAATACCATACTTCTAAAATATCAAATTCAAGATTGTTTAAATTGTATTTAAGTTTCCATTTGTAAAATATACTTGCGATACGATCTGCCTCTCTAAACTCGCAATTATACGTTTCAACTTCTGGAAAATAATGTTGAGGTTGTTGTTGTTTTTTATTGCTATGCATACATATTTGGAATTCAAGTGGTATTGACAAAGTATGTGACATTATTATTTATTAAATAACTAAAAATATGAATTTAAATGAATAAATACGTGAGATAAATAATTTAAATCTTTATAAAATGAAAATTATTTTTTTTGATTTTTTGCAGGGAAAAACTCAAAAAACCAAATGCTTATTAAGAATGGAAAAGAAAGAAAAAGAGAACAATTTAAATAATTAGATTATTCACATGGTAGTGCAGAATCTATCTGCTTTTAGTAAATATCCAAACAAATTTCGTCAAGGTTAAATCATTTTCATTTTAAACTAACTTTTAATGCTGAAATGCTATACGCCAAACCTTTTAATTTGGAATAGTAAACAATAAATATAGTTACATGTGATGAAAATGGTGACTATGATCATTATGATAATTCCTAAATAGTATGATAAGTTAGTATGGCGTGCGATATGCGTTACACCAGATTGATCAACGAACTACCCTATAAAAAATTTTATCCGTTATTTCTGTAAAAAACTCTGTAAAATGAGCCTTTCACGGATCCATTCACGGAAAATGTAAATAATTCGATAAATTCCGTGATATAAGGTTATTAATTCCGACCTTTTACGGAAAAAAGACGGACGGATCGACTTTTTTTACAGGGCTAGCTCACAATCTTAAAAAACAATGAATTGTTCACTGGTCTTTATTATATAGTCTCGCAACCCGTTTTTTTTTTAAAAAAAAGTAGATTTTTATTTAACGCTCCATTAAAATTATTGCGTTAAATAATTTATAAGAATTTAATATTGTATTGTAACGGAATAAAACTATAATATGTCTACTTGCCTTTGGTTATTAGAAAAGTTTATAACACTTATCTTCCGTAAAATTAAATACTAAAAAATAATCGGATGTAATTATTCCAATATAAGAATTTATGGAATTAAATAAAATCTTACGTCTCTCACTATTTTATTCTTTAATATGAGAATTATAAAAAGTTGATTCAATATATACCAGCTATAGTCACCTTACAGACAGTATTTATTTTATACTTTGATTGAAATTTTTATTTAGTTTTATAATACAAGACGTTAGTCTACATAATACAAACCAGTTATCAACAACTTGCCATTTTCCATTTCCGTAAACGGAAAATCGTGTGATTTTACTAGACAATTTTAGATATAGGTTTATATACATACACAGTGAAATTCGACATAATGGAACCATTACGTTATGTTAATCCGTTCCGATATATCAAGATTTTACTTATGATCCGTTATATCGAGGTTCCGGTATATCGAATTTCACTGTGTATATTGTTTTTACTAACAATTTAAATAAAATATAAAACAATATATATATATATACATTTTTTTTCGTGTAAAGTGTTGTAGCGTTATCAGCATAGTTTAGTTAGCCTATTATATTAGATCTTTTTTTTTGTTATAGGGTCATATCATATTTGTCTAAGTATTTCTATCTGTAATTGGTATTACTTTTGATAGGCAACTCTAATTAATAAAGAAATGCGTTACAAAAAAAAAAAATTGTCATTTTCAATAATTCTTAGTTATACTGTACATCTAGTATCAATTCATGATTGTTCCACAAGATTTATTAATAAATTTATGTTTTTCCAAACTATTATTTATAAGAAGGATGAAGTCATTATTATATTTTTGATTTAAATAGCGCAGTAAATATTGTTACATTGAATCACATGGTTTGGGTCTCATTTTTTTGCAATAAAATGTTTACTAATTACTACATTGTTTTTATACACTAAGCATGAAAATCTTTCACCCAAATAGTGAATATAAAAGAAATAAATATTTAACGTCCTAATAATAATTTAACGTTCCTAACAATAAACAATATCATCAAACTTGTTAAAAAAAAACCATGGATAATAATAATAATTTCATTATTTCTCAAGATGATGATGATGAGAATTTGTTAAAAAATTTAATAATTTTTACAATGAAAAAATTTTTAATGAATAGATAAAAAATGAAATAAAAGCATTCGAATGGTATACAAAATCGGCTAATGCAGGGTATGCTGATGGTCAATGCAATTTAGATGACCATGGTGTAGGTATAGATAAAAATAAAACAAAAGCATTTCAATGGTACATGAAATCAGCTATTTCAGGAAGTGCTAATGGACAATGTAAATTAGGTTATTGTTATGACCATGGTATAGGAACTGAAAAGAATGAAATAAAGCATTTGAATGGTATTTAAAATCAGCAGAAAATAGATATGCAATAGCACAAAATAATTTAGGTCTTTATTTTCAGTATGGTAAGCATTTGAATGGTACGTAAAATCAGCAAATGCAGAGTATGCTTTAGGACAATGTAATTTAGGATTTTGTTATGAACTGAAGGTGGAATTGCAGAAGCACAAAATTATGTAGCAAAATGCTATTTTGGTGGTATAGGTATTTACAAAGATATTGATAGAGCAAATTATTGGTATGGAAAAGCTTCAGACAATGGAATTAAAGAGGCAAAAGATAAATTAGCTAATATTTCAAGTTTTTTACCATGAATACCATCTATTTATTAGGGCATAATAAGCTATTATGATTGATTTTTTATAAATAAGCATTACTTCTGAAATATTATAATTTGCCATACATATATGATAATTATTTGATTCCTTTTTATCATTACTATGGCAGATAATTGCTTTTTACTAATAATTGTTACTGGAAAAAATTTGTATGTTTTTTTTTAAAGAATAAAATAGATCTATTATTTATTACTTATTTATAAAAAAAATGTCATTTCAACATTTTTCATAAGGCTCTGAATCCCGATGCTGATTAGTAATTAACAATTCGTATATATTTTAAAAAAACAAATTTTTTTTTTTACTAGCTGAAATGTTTATTTAGGTAAAATTGAAACCCTTTTTATTAAATAATAAAAAAATTCAGTTTTTGTTTTATTAAAATCTAAAAAAACCTGTTTTTTTTTAAAAAAAATTGAAAGCTCGATTTTTATTAATTGATGGTCTATGCACTATTAATGGGAAGTACTAATAAATATATATATTTTTTACATAATGTTAATAATTTATAAATGATTACCTTGTAAATATTTGAAATATATTGAGAGGAGCTAATATTAGAACCCACAGAATTACTTTGAATATAAAAAAAAAATAGAAAAAAATAAAAATTTCTTAAATTCTTTGCGATATTGGCAGATTATGAAGTTATTACCTCAATTTATTAATTACTACATCGGTAAATTTTTTAGGGTAAAAATCTGCAAAGATCTCTGGCCTAAATTTCTGCGCAGATTTGCTACCCTGTCAACGCACATCAGAGAAAAATTTTTAATAAAACATGCGCAGATCTGCAAGTATTAAAAAAATCTGCACAGAATTTTAAAAATTTTTCTCCGGAATTTTTCAAAACAAAACAACTCAAATTCAGTTATCTGCTATTATTTTAATGTGTGTCAATTTATTTAATAAAAGCATTACAAATTATATGTACAAATTAATTAAAACTACACTAGTAATTATTCTATACTACAAATATATATGTTGTTAATGTATTTGGTTTGGACATTGTTCCAGTTGGTTCAATTCCAACAAACAGCTATTAAAATTTGTTCAAAAAGCAGCCATATCCAGTAAAACCTAAAGTTTTCAAAAGTGTCTAAAAAACTTATTAGGACTTTCAAGGCTGTAAATTGAGCCCGGTATTCAGCTGAGGAAGCCATAGCTCTAACATTTCCTTTAAAAAAAATATGTCCCGAATCCACAATACCAGAATCTACAAAAAAGAAGGAAGTGTCAAAGAATGCTTCCATCAAATATAAAATTTTTAAAAATAAGTTTCGAAGAATACCTTTAAAACTTTTTGCCGAATAAACCTGAAATCAAAGTCAAAAGTCTAAAAAACCTACAAGAAAAAAGTAAGAAACGTTAATAAATGTTTCTTTAAAAAAATAAAAGAAAAAAAATGAGTTTTGAAGCTTTAAACCTACTGGTATTCTAATCCAAAATCGAAAACTGGAAGAACCTACGGAAGAGAAGAAGAAACATTAATAAAACGTTTTTAAAAAAGAGAAAAGAAAATCGGATGAACTTACAAATTCTGTCCATTCAAAGACTCCAAAGGAGATCCTAAAAAATGAAGAAACGGTTAGTAAAACGTTTCTCTTATTTTAAAAAAAAAAATAAATATTTTTAAAGTCAGACGAACTCACCAATTTCATTCGTTCAGAACTTCGAAACCCCTAGAATCTAAAAGAAAAATAATGAAACTAATTAGTAACAAGAAATTTGAAACACAATGAAAATGAAAGAATAAACTCACCAGGGCCTTGAAGAATTACCGAAACTTAAAAGAAGAAACAAGAAATAGTTAGTAAAAAAGAAATTAGCAACAAAAAATGATAAACAAAACAAAAAAACGCACTCACCCTGCAATGATTACTGGACGCGAATAACATTGCATGAGATGTTTTCCTGTTCTAGACTAAAAAAAATTTAAAGAAAGGTTAATATAATATTTCGTTAATTCAATAAAGTAAAAAAAAATTTTTGAAGTGTTTACCTTTGAAATTAATATTTTTTTTCTTTTAGATATTTAGATACTATCATAAATTATTTAAACACTATGACTTATGAGATTTTCTTCAAATTCTTAGTTTGTAATTTGAATAATTTATTTTTTATTTTTATCTTTTTCTTTCTCATTATATTAATATATTAGCAGCGTAAACTGAACGCGTTTTTATTAAATAAATTTTAAGGTATATTTTAAATTTAAATTTTATAATATCTCATGATTCAACAAGGAAATATATAAATATAAAAAAAATAAATTCATTAAAGTCATGGTGATCGTTAATATGAATTGTTGCAAAATTTCTTTGCCGAAATTACCAGAATTATCATAATTCTGAATCCAAATCACATGATATACTATTTACCTTTTACGACCGCATCTTCGGTAATATAACGCTCTCACTAACTCATATATTTATTTACATTGCTAAGAAAAAGGTGTTTAAAATTAAATTTATAATATTCGTTTATTTGTCTGTTGAAATAATTAATTTAGATGTAATTTTTTTTAAAAAAAAATAATTGCCTTACAATAAAATATTCGCCACTCCGTCTCTTGTTTATGAAAACTATGTACATTTTTTTTATTAAATTTTTATCTATTATTTTAAACATTTTTATTTATTCATAAAATTATAAAATACATAGTAAACCATATTTATATACTAGTAAAAAATCAAATTTTTATATAATTATATTCTTAAGGGCTGTACAAATAAAAATTTTACATCTAATGAGATCAGTTTTGGAGTTGAACGACGTCAATTCCGAACTGAAGTGGTTCATTTAATTTTAGTAATTTGTTTTATTATTCAAATAATAATAATCCAATAATTTATAAATAATCAGAGTTAGTTTGTCTTATAACTCTACTTTTCATTTAAATTTTTAACCAATTTCAAATTATATTCATTAATTACTAATAATTATATATACTTAATCGTTAATAAGCTACTTTGAATTATTATTTATTGGCTCCCAGAATTTCGATCCAAATTGAATCAAAAATACATAATTTTGATGGTGTAACAAATTAGTTAATATTTAGAAGTTGGTAAAGTAAATGATTACTAATTTTTTAACCACTGTAACGTATTTTATTTGCATTTTTTATATATTGCTGTATTAATTAATATTTTTAACTATGATATCGTTAGCTCGTCCAAGAAAATATAATCTCGTGATACTAGACTCTAATTCTAATTTGTTATTCTCGTATATTGAAATGATCATATTTTGGGTTAGAAAACAATATTCCTAAAACTCATTAAAAAAATTAAAAAATACAATAAATTCTAAAATCTTAATATTATGAAAGCACTTACTAGTATTAATATCTTAAAGTCTATATATGTTTGCTATATTCGGAAATATTGCTCCATAAATTTCATATTTATTATTCAGTTTTATATAAATTTCCTCATAATTATAATTGGATGTACTTGTAAGTATGGAAGTTGCATAACCTTACTATTTTCCTAAGAATTTCCCTAAGGCACCCAAAATATAATTTCCTTATTTTAGTCGGTATTGAACAACTAAAATTTTAATAAAATTTCTAATCTGTCATTCATATGAAGAGTCGACTTATAATGAGAAAATTATATAATTTTTGATAATGACAGAATTCCGAATCTTTCTAAAAAAAAAAAAGGTTAAGAATTCAATTGACCATACAATTTGATCAGAGATAAAAGTTAAAATCAATATGATTGGCAAGACAATTCAAGATACTTTAAATCCTTTGAACTTCAATTAATTTAACAATTCCATGTCTCTTTATATTGACAGAAACGTGTTAATTCATAAAAGTATGAAGAAATTAATTTACAAATGTTTCAAACTTCTAGAACGAAAATATTTGTAATTGGTGTCTGATTGATTTCATATCAAATACATTAATTCTGTAAAATTCTTGCTTGTAAAGAATTTGATTATAAGATAAAGAAAACACAATAGAAATTACGGTATTCATAATATTTATATAAAGAAGGATAATAACCAAACAAAGTGATTGACGTGAAAATGCTGGTAATTGCCTGGATCATGGTACCAAGGATTTCTCAATACAATCGAAATCACAATTTCACACTAAAATCTATTGACCATTAGATATGAAAGATTTGAATTATCTTGTATTGAAAAGTATATTTTTATTGAGTTTTGATATTCTTTATCAAAAAATAATAGAGAAAATTTTAAAATTAATATTTTTATAATTGAAATAAAGGTAACTTCAAGCATAAATTTTTATAAGGTATTAATTTTTTTGTTAAATAAAATAAGAGTTTAAGAAACGAACTCTGTAGATACTGGATATTATATGAGGATATGTAAGTTTGACCAGAAATCAAACATTGATTTGCTAGCATTAAGGGGGGAATATATTATACCGTAATTTAATGATACTATGAATAATACATACTAGATCTTATAAAATCGGACCCGTACGTTCAAGGGGGATACTTTATGCAGTTCTAGATGGTATAAATAAATAGCTTTTAACTTTGCGATAGGCAAATTTAATGAACTATGAACTATTACGTTTCATCAAAATACAGTTCTTTCATTGATTTCTAAAATATCTAATACATATCTCGATCAAGTACGTTGAACTTTAAAATTATTAATTATAAAAAACTAACATGATGTAACAAATCTTCAATTCTGACATTTGACCTAGTCATTTAAAAATTACATCATAATTCTGACCAAAATTATCTATGTAATTTCATTGTTTCGAGGATAAATATATATCACTTGATAATATGAATTTTAATGCTGACCGGCATCATAAATTTGGCCTGAATTAATTCTAAATAACTCGAATGACAAATGACCCAAATGACATGTCATTCGAAGGTCAATTCCAAAATGGCCAAATGACCTGGTCATTTGTCATCACTGACTGTCTGTCTGTTCAAGCTCTTGTAAATTTGCGAATTAGAAATAGTAAATAACAATGAAATATAATTTCTTTCATTGGAGATTTTTTTTATAGAGTCAATGAGTCATAAAAATTTAATTTGTCTAAAGTATTCAAAAGATTTATTATTAACGAAGCAAGCATATTTTTGAATAGCAATATTTCGTTGTGTTAAATATTTTTAAATGTTTCAAATGGATTTGCAGATAATTTCTCGTTATCTTTGCAGGATTCAGACGAAATATGTAATTCTGAAAAGACTTATTTGCTCGCTAAAATCCAAATTCGAAGATGATATTTACACATTGTAATACATTGACTGAGACAAGTTTTGTTAATTAATGAACATTTGAGAGGAGAGTTAAGGTCAGTTTAATAAATAAACAATCTAGAAATTGTTAGTTAACGTATTTAATAAAGCTGGAATCCTAAATTCATTAAACAAGATGACGCACGTTAATATTATTTATGTAATCACTGATATTTTTTAATGTCCGCAAATAGTGCCTCGACCCGTATCCGGATCAATCCGGATTGATCCGGATTTTTTTTTTTTTCGGATATCCGGATTTTCACGGTTTTCATCCGGATTATAAACCGGATGAAAAATATCCGGTTTGACCCGGAATCCGGATGAAATTTTTATTATTTTTTTTTTTATTAATAATAATTTTGCTGATCCATAAAGATCTATATCT